TGGGTACAAATTGAAATTTTTTTTTTAAATCAATTTTTTTCAGTACTTTTCAACTTCTTTTGGATGTGCATTGTTTAATTATGCTGTAAATATACTTTTCATATTTTTTTGGATTTTTTTGTTTTTATTATTATTTTTATTTTTTTAACACTTTTTTAAACGGTCGAGATGTGTTCGGTTAGGCCAGGTGAACCGACCGGTTTACCTGTTACTCGGACCCGGCCCTTGGCCGGTTTATGAGTTTGGTTCAATTTGTCGAACACTGACCATCACCGTCATGGTCCGAGCCTTATCCGCAACTATTTGGGGTTTGACTACACGAATCATGTTCCATCATTCTGCTTTATCAAGGGTCATACCCTCAGTCAAAACCATATCTTGTCTCACTACTTCCATTCATGTCTTTTGGGGCCTTCCCCTTGCCTTTTTAGATCCTTCCACTTGAACCAAATCACCTCTCCTAACTAGTGTTGTTCTAAGTTGACGTTGCACATGGTCAGACCACCTGCGTCTACTTTCCCACATTTTATCGCCTATTAGAGCTACACCTAAGTTCTCTCTAATATATTCTTTCCGAATTCTATCCTTTCTTGTCTTACCACTCATCCATCTCAATTGCACTCCCAACATTCCCTCCAATACAGCATGGCTAGTTTTACAGCCGATCTATAGAACTTCCCCCTTCAATCTTATTGGTATGAGACAATCACGTAAAACTCCTGGAGCAACATCTTCCTCAAATCTCGCCTTTCTTATGGATAGCGGAAAAAGTTGTATGTTGTTTTTTGCCAACTTAATACGACCTTCCTTTCTGATCTGGCTTGGGACCGGGAGTGGTAGGGTTGTGCTTTTTCCTTTACAGATTACTAAAACAAAAAATAACACATACTTTTGTTTTTGATAAGCGAGTTAAAATTACATACTAATTACAGTAAAAAGGATGTAGCCAAAAAATAATAATAAAAACTATAGTGAAAAGGCCTATCACTAACTGCTTTCATGCTCTAGCCATTTTTCTTGCTGAATAGATCCCATGAAAAAAAATATCCATTTCCCATTCAACCCTTCTGTTCTGTTCTTTCTTGCTGTTATGAATTATGGAAGACCGATCCTGAAGTTCGCAACTCTTACCTTTAACTATCAGGTGAAGGGGCAAAGAAGGAAAAACAATAGTTTGAACATTTGGCTAGGTGAAAAGGTGTGCCTGAGAAAGAATTTGTCTGGGTAAAATATGCTACTTCTATGAGATTTGAAGCCAGTACCTAGTCCTAGATTTAATGCTGATGATAGGTTCCCAAGGTGGGGTATTTCTCCTGGACCTCAAATTAGGCACCTGTGTGTTGCAGGTGCCGGTGTGGATTATGTACTTGCCTCATGGCACAGCATATGCAAAACTATTATAGAGCAGACCTGGAAGTAACCCTCCATTGTTTGAGGTATCTGTTGTTGTAACCTGCATTCAAAAGCTAGGAGTCGTGCAAGTGCCTGGAGTGTGACTCGACAAGACCCCCCAAAAGGGACTAAAAAATCCTAAAAATTTGGAAAATTTTAAGAACAATAAAACAAAAAAGAAAAAAGAAGAAAAATTACGAACATGGGGAAATACATATATAAAATAAAACACGCCAAAGTGATTTGGGATTCTAGTTTGTATCTTGTTGTCCAAGCTCTTGAAATTTTTAGCTGTAACCCATTTCAATATTCAAAATCTCGCAAATCTGAGATTTTGGAATGTTTCGTCCCTCCCCCCCCCCCCCTTTCCCTCCTTTTTCTTTGTGGAATCTATGGAACTGATGAACACTAAAAGGCTTAGGGACACACTTTTAGGGTGGATTGAGCTACTGTTGCAAAAATCAAGCAAGAAAGCAACTTTAGATTCGCAAAATAAATTTGCAAATCTGAGATTTTTTATTGTTTTCTGCTGAATCTGAGCTCTACATTGATGGAGGATGGAAAATACACCCTTGGGGTGAATTTTGAGGGAGATCAGAGCTGAATGACTAAGAAAATGGAAGTAAGGGAGGTTCGGATTCCTGTCCCCCTTATTTCAGTTAGTGTCAGGCTCAGGTAGTTTTTGTGGCGTCACTTGTGTGTTTCCTTGGTCCAGTAGGTATTCACCTGTATTACTGTGCCATCTCGGACGAGCACTACTACAATACAGGCCCCAAAGGAATTGGGAGCCTTTTGAACTTAGCAGGATGCCAGCCTAGTCCGAAGTCATACTTGGAGTTTTTAAACCATGGTTGTAACCAGCGACATTAGAAATATAATGGGTTACATATGCTATGGGATTTGATGGCCGATATCTATGCTTGTTAGTTTTGAGCATCATCATATAGATTATAGAAAGCTAGTGTGGAAAAGAAAAAAATTTCCCTCTAAGAAAACCCATGTACGATCTAACTTGAAAAGGACCTGTTCTATATGTTGTACATCCGTTTCCATTGATACAATGGAGACACGCACAACAATCTGGCAGATGACACATTGCTACGTGTTCGGAGTGTGAGTACTGGATGTGGGGCCCACGGGCACCCATCGTCTATTGAGGATCACTCTCATCAAGCCAACGGCTGATGGGATGGCCACGTGGCAGTCTGACAGATCTCAACCACATTATTTTCTTAACAAAAACAAAAAACAAAACCTATGCATGAGCTTAACCAAGACACTGCCCAAATCCAGATGTGTGATAATATATTGGTGGATGTTTGGAGTTGCATGCTGGACAGAAGAGACCTTTGTTGCTGTAATGCTCTTCTTCAACAAGCTGATTGATGCCCTTGGAAGCCACTGAGGGCAACTCCTGATATCTTGATGCCTCTACTCTCTCAAAGGAACTCAATTTCTAGCTGAGATCCTTAGAAGCCATTGCAGCAAACTCCCGAAATCTTGATGCCTCCACCCTGTGAAAGGATCTTAATTTCTAGCTCCTCCCACGTTGCTGTCTTCTAATGCCAAATTTAAGACCTAAAGCCTTGATGGTTATCATCAGTTAAGGATATTGTTAAGGGGCTTGGAAAGGGCCGACTATTGACCCACCTTGGCCGAATCATAATTAGGATTGTGGCAAGCCACGTAGAGGAAACAGGCCACCGATTCCTGTACAAACTGCATGCTTCTCGAATTCCTTAACTACTTGCTCAGTTTTTTCATCTGCCACAACCTTGCTTTTGTCTTTTGTTTCCATAAAACCGGCCTTTGAAAATTTTCATATTCAAGAACCATGGCTTAGATCATGTATCTCTAAAAACATTTAGATCAAGATCGATTTTCAGGGAGGTCACAAATGTACGTGTGTTAGCCAACTCATAGAAACCCTGTCCTTAAAAAATCTCTGCATCTTAATTGCAGGATCCTTGTAATTGGGATAATTTACTGGGCTATCTTTGATGTGAAATTGGAATCCATAAACTTCTTTGGTTCCTTATTTACAATTTCACAATCTGGTTTTCACTACTCAATGGTATCTATTATTTTTAAAGCAAATGGAATCCCAATGTCTTGAATTGTTACTGAATGGAATCTTTCCCTATCGACAGGAAGCCGGGCAAGAGTAATCCCCAAAGGCAACTTTCGCTAAAATATGAAACATAATTGCTGCCGTGGATTAGTTACATATGTTGTTGCGAATTCTAGCATTGTTGCAGGGGTTGCGCTTGTAGCTGAATGAGCTTTTTTTGTATTCTTTGCGCAAGGGTTTCCCCTTAATGCTCTATGTTACGCTATATAGGAAGAGTTACCGTCGCTCTTTCTGCACAATGAGATGAGGATGATATGCTAAAGGAGAAGATTTGTGACTTGTTCAAGGTGTCTTGAGTGTCATCTGTCCTGTAGACTGAAAGTGCTCATCACCTTGCGAGAGTAAAATGGAGTATCAAATGCTCTCTTCATTTCATCTTTTCAATGATTTTTTTGGTTGCCTTACACTCTTCATACTCTCTTGGATAGGTGTAGGACAGTGGCTAAGTTCAAATTCTTAGCACTTTGATTTTTAGTGCTCCATGTCTCATAAGCATCATGAGTAGCATTAGATCGTTGCATATTTAGAGGGTCTTGTGTGATAATGGAAATGAGACCCTCCTCATGGAATACATAGCCCTCTTTCTTCCTCTATTCAAGGTATTCGGTAACCACCGAATTGTCGGCCATATGCAAACACTTGAGCAAAATCTTAAGGGAAAGCTTTCTATGTTCCCCCTACAACATAGAAGGTCTATCCTCCTTTTTATCCAACCGTCTATTTTTTAATTGAAGGTTAAGATTGTCCCAATCGCAATGTCACGTCTCTACATTGTTTTAATTTTTTTTTTTTTCCGTAAGCTATTTTGACACCAAATTTTGGACGTTCATTCTTTTATTAAACTTGTACTAATGAAAAATATAAAAAAAATATCTTCAATAAATTAAAATGATCAAAATGCCCTTGAAAGTTTTAAGGGGTATTTTGGTCATTATATTTTATCAAAAAATTATTGTTACTATTTTTTATAAGTGTGCCCCAATGAGAAGATGACTCGTATCAAATTTCATATTTAGGAAATTTATATTAAAAAAACTAAAAATAAAATACTTTGAGACGTCGGATCGAAGATCAAACGGTGAGTGGCTCTCTGGATAAAAAATAGACGGCTGGATGGTAGGGGGAAGATAGAAGTTCTATGTTGTAGGGGGAACATAAAAAGCCTTCCCAAATCTTAAATGCAATCTAGGAGTAAAAAATGACACCAAGGTACATCTCTTGGAGTTTTGGCTCGGATACCACTTTATAGTGTATAGAAATCAATTATCTTGACTTGGACTATAATATAGACAAAATATAAGATAAAACTTCATGAACTTTTCTAATAAACTTGAAAATACAACTTGCAAAATCAAATTATAGCAAGATCATTCTAACGATAGTGAGCTATTGATTTTAAAATATACTTCAATGATAAGATAGAATTCAATAAGGTCTTTTGCACATGAACAAAACAAGTTATAAAATGAGATCATCAATCTACACATATATAGTGTGTATTGGAAAATTCTTCACCACTTAAATTTACAAAGCAAAATTATATATCAATTAACTCAAAAAAACTCATCACAACATGATCTCCATTACTTCAATATACATATGCTCGAGTGTGTAATGCATCATGACCATGGGAAGCCAATCAAACATTTATTGATACATATTTAAAACATGGAAGGATTTGCAGGGATTTAAACATCAAATCAAATGGGAAAAACGTGAGAGAAAACCAAGCTCTTAAAACACAAAATTGGTTCAATTGAGTTCACAATTCGGTTTACAAAATTTCGGCATGGTCTCTTATAAAACCAACAATTCAAGATATCAAAAGGAAAATCTAAGTGACTGATATGATCATAAAAACTCAGATAAATATTAGAGAAAATTGCTCCAAAATTCAAAGAAAAAAACTCATAGAAACTAGATCAAAATATGCATGGATGATGCCTTCAACTATATGGATCAAGGGAGATCAAAGATGATTCAAAAGATCCCAGTCATCAAAGGATGAAGAGATATTGTTGCAATTGAGAATTTACAGCAAGGAGAAACTAAATGGATCAATAAAAAAGAAAGAGATCTTATTCAATTGTTGAAAGCTTGAAAACTAGGTCATCCATGGCTTGAATTTGAGCTTTGGATCACCATTAATGTAGTGTAGGGCCTTTAGTGGAGCTCTCTCTCACTTTAACTTGAAGGTAGCTATTTAGAGAGAGAAAGGAAAAGGAAACTTGCTTTGGGTATGTCACTCAAAAAGGAAGAGGGAGAGAGAAGGGCGTGTCACACATTTAGAGATAGAATGTTTGTGAACTCATGTAGAAAATGGATGATTTAGGAGATATTTATAAGCATCTAACTCTTAATCATGGAGATGCTTCTAGATTGATGAATATTTACCCTCCATGTCTTCTACCAATGGTTGCAAAGAGAATTTTGATTCTAGCCCACCATCCACCAGCATGTCATCAAGATGCGTGGAATGGATTTAAACACATTTATCCCCATTTAATTCACACTAATTGCTTTGTAAGAGTATATGGGGCTAATAAAATAATGCCCCATAAACTAGATGGTCAATTGCATATTTACCATGTACCCTTAAGGTTAGGCTTATAAGTACAAACCTCATACCCCTTCTAGAATCTTCCACAAATGCACAAACCCCTTCTTTTAGGCATTAAACATGTGCTAAAAAGATTTTTTTTCAAAATCTCAATATTTAAAAAATACCATAAAACAATGCCCTTAACTTACTGGGTGAAGTTTCTATAGAGCCTAGGCTATAAACAATCAAATTAGAGCCTACCTTCAAATGGTATCGAGAATTATAATTTCAACACAAAATCTTTGTGATAGCCTTAAAATATATTTTCATCTTTATCTATAAATATTAAAGCTTCAAAAATAGTGTAGATCGACAAATTTATGAAAACTTGAAAATCTTGAAAAATGACATCCAAAAATGCATTACAAAATACACTATTTCCAAAACTTGAAATCGATTTTTTTCTAATGTCCATGCATCTTGATGTCAAGATGATCAATTTGAGGATATTTGGGCATCAAATCAATATCTTTTAGGGGGTTCCATGAGGGGGGTGATGTCACCCCCACATCGTCCTCCACGTGGGGTGATATGCGACCCCCCAAACCACCTCGTGGACACCCATTGGCCATATGGGTGTCCCGTGTGGGTCCTAGGGGATTATCATTGTTTGTCATTTCTTTCAAATAATTGTTTTTCAAACAAAAATTTGAAAAATCCACAAAAAGCATTAGAATGATTTTTCATCAAAATAAATCATTTTGGCATTGTTTTAAAACATTTACATGGGAAATTAGGATCCTTAGAGTTGAATTACAAATTAGAGTGCTCGGCTAGACCCGGAAACCAAAGTCACATTCTCAATATGACCCAACAGACTCATGACCCACATTGTAAAATTAGGGGCTCATGATCTCAGTCTATCAAAGTTAAACCACTGTGTGACTCTAAATTCCCAAGTATAAGTGGCTTTCAGGTGCACATTCGAGATGAAATACACACACATGGTGCAGGGGTTCCTCTCTTCGCACATGTGTGTACTTCTATCCAGTGGATCACTGGAAGAGTGGCTTCTCATGGATTGTGACTGTATATGCACATACTACAAGAAGGTTCTAAAAGTCAAGGATTTAAGTTAATGTCCTCTAGCGGCCCTAACCGTCATGTACATGCTATTTTATCATCGAGCTCATTTAAATACATAGTCACATTGCCCTTGCCCATCATTCAGTCATGAGGCACAAACATAACAACCTTGACTAAGAGGTATCCCTCAATCCTCTCAATACCTCCCATGCATATAAATCATCCTCATGTCTTAATCGGGGTTCCATGACTCTTGGTCCCACTGTGCCAAGCTCCTAGAGTCATGTAGCTCTTTTACTCCCACTAAAGTTACAACCATTAAAATATCGGAATTTAAGGCTTTGAAATAATATAATTCCAACAAGCACTCTATTCTTTAAGGCCAAATGGCAAAAGCCCAAACCTTGTGAGGGATTAGTATAACCCAAGCTCCATTGACAATTGGTAGTAGTTGAATCAACCTATCCATTGCGAATTGCTTAGACAGAACTCACTAAAAAGACACATGAGGACAATTTATGTATAACGATATCGTTCGGGCTTGAATTGTACATGAAGGAGCGACATAAAGCCAAAAAAAATTTATATTGATTTGCAACTATATAATTGACCATTAGTGTCTAAGGCTAATAATCTAAGTGGTTTCTCTCCCCCTTCCTGACACTACATTACTTAGCGTGATATTTGGAGCAGGTTTTTTTGTTTTTTTTCAAAGTCTAGTGAACTGCACCTTGAGAGGGTTGTCACCCAAGCATTCCCAAGGCTAGAAGCTTGTTATTGACTCAACCTCAGGCTGCATTCTATTATGTCGAACAAAAATTGGCTTGTAGAAGTTAATCCCTTTCCATGTATAGAAATCTTTTGGTCGAGATAGAAAGCTTTTTAATTAGGATACCATCCCTCACAACAGCATATTTTGCTACCGAGGCCTGCTTCCACACATGATTGGTCTAGGGAAATTATCCACCACAATTTTGTGAGTAATGCTTCACTAATAGGTTTTAGTCTCCTGATCCCAATGCCCCAAAAGAAACTTTGGGTACTAGCGCATTCCACCTAACTAGGCTGCATTTCTTGTTATCTCCCCCCACCCTGTAGGAAATGCTTCATCATTTGTTCGAGACTTTTGACAACAACATTCGCAACTCTAAAGATAAATAGTAAATTGGCAGGTTAATGAGGGTGGGTTTGATCAGAGTGATCCTGCTGCCATTGATAGATATCTTGCTTTCCACTAGTTCGATCTCCATTGAAATTTCAAAGCACAATGCCCAAATTGCTCTAGTTGATCGACCATCTAGTAGTAGGACCCCCAAATATTGGATGGAAAATCCTCAACAGTACATCCGAACTAGTTTGTTAGACCCTTTTTATATATATGAAGTTAACTGTATTGCAACTATAAATTTGTACATGGAGTGTTTGAGCCAAGAGTCCCTCCATGCTAGGACTCTTCATAAAAAATAGGTCAACCGACCCTATACAAAATGATCATATGGATCTGTCCAATGTTATTGTCTGTTAGGCCCTTTAGGTCATCATTCACAAATCCCATCATCATGAGCTTTATTTTACTCGCATTAACTTTCATACTCGACGCTCCTAATCTACAACAAGGACACATCACAAAACAAGTTATCATCCACATACTGTAAATTGGGTATCACTAGACCTTTTTGGGCTATTTGGAACCACCTCATTTTCCACTTTCATGAACCTATTTGATGACAGCGCTTAAAGACTCAGC